TGATGTCCAAGACAGCATATATGGGGAAATATGTTTATTTCACACTTTAAATAGTCCTGGAAATATAACTAGGCACTGGTAAAACATTTACAATAATATAATGAATGTTACAGATATATAGGCCTACATATTGCTTTCAGGAATTCTTATTTAGCAAGAATACAGCTAATTTGGAATGGCTGTAAATGGCTTGCAGATGCTGTAGTTACAGCATAACAGCCAAACCTTTACCCCTTGGTCTCAACACCAATATAATGAACAATATAATTGCTTATATTTTTATAAAGCAGACCAAACTGGTTTGTTCATGCAATACAGCATTACGATTGACATGATGCAGACTGGCATTGACTGCGCAGTAAAGGCCAGTCTGAATCAATACTCAAAACACAGAGCATGGATGTCCAAAACTAATGTCAGTTGTGCATTTGTGTGGGGGGGATGTCTCTGGAAGAAGTCCCATAGAAGAGAAACTTCAAAAGAGATCTCAGTTGTTTTAGCAACAATAAAAAATGACCAATTGGAGATTTATCACATTAATTGCTTTAGGCGAAGCATCAAAGGCAACATTAATATTAAAACACACCCGAGAACTCCATGAAGTCTACTGTATTTTGAAAGAGAAACCAATAATATTTTCCTCAGGGGCAGGTCAATTGCGGTTTTGGACTTAGTAAGAATAGTACCTGTAGCTGTTTGGCTGTTCATGTAAAGCATTATGTATATGTTGTTCTGCTTTCATTCTCTTGAAAAATTGTAGCATCCTTAATAGGGTGCATGTGTGAAGAGATGTTATAATAAACTTTTTCTATGTACATTTCAGATAAAAGCTCCCTTACTCTTGATGTATCTCTTCAGTCCCAAAGACATTACACAATACTGAAGTTGTCAACACAGTTTTAAAGTATAATTTTAATTTCACTTGTAACATTAAAATAACAATAAACATAATTTACTGTATGTAAAATGATTCAATATAAAACTGGAATCCTTTACTGAAATGCTGACCTTTACATTTTAGCTAAATATGATTAGACAATGTAGGACCCTGCAGCATCAATACCTGCTCATGTTTACATCTGCTTAATTTGCCTAGCTTGAACTACAGTAAGTGAAAGATTAATTTTTACTCCTATAAAACCAAATGTACTGATATTGATACTGATACTGTAACCAAACCAAATATTGAATACAAGACCTCCACATCAACTTGATCAATAACTTTCTGAAAACCCCACAATCTACATATTTTCTGGATATTTTCTAATTGCCAATATGTTCACCTCTGTGTCACAATGCACACGTCTTCTGACAGCAACATCACAGAAAAAAATATGTTGTTGTTTATTTATATTTCAAAAAGAATATTGACTAGATTGAAGCAACTTGCATATTCATAATTAGTATCGTTTTTTTCCTGCAGTCTGCAACCCATTTTTGAGTCGCAACCCACCAGTTGACAACTACCGGTTCATGCTATAAAACTATGGCGGGGGCAGTGTATCAACACAATGAGGAGACTTCCCTTTCCACTTCTTATCCGTGTCCCAAGCGTCCATCTCGTGAAATAGTTGGAGTTATCTCAAGACAGCTCAGAGATATGCTGTCTGTGATTCATACAGATTGATGATGTCATCCTTGCCCACAGGGTATTAAACCGGCACATGTGCTCAGGATGAATGAATGCACTGCAAAATCTTAAAATGTGTCAAATTTTAAGAGTGTGTTGCTACAGTATGTGTGTATTTTTTGCAAGTATATATTTACCTTGCACAATCTGCTTTTCAATGTTAGCTGACACAGACAAAAATGGCATGATGTATTTATAATAACATCAGTGCATTCTGACTTAATTGCAAGTTCCATGGAAACAGCACCTTAACCTTCTACTTAAACTGTGGAATGGCTGTGTACACACCTCTACATGTCCTCTATTGTAACAAACGCACATCCTCGAAATGTGCCACCTCAGCAATGGCTGATTTTGCAGACCACAGACATCCAAGTATGCATTATTCATCCTTGGGGTTGTCTGTAATGCACTTTTCCAAATGAACATCAAAGTTGGCATGGAATGAAAATTAACCCTATCTATTTCCTAAATGCATGTTAAAGATCTTGCTGTGAACAATTTATCCGTGCATATATATTTTTTTTATTAACGTTTTGACCTCACACTTTTAAGTCAAGTCACATTAATTTATATAGTTCTTTATACAACAGAGATTGTTTAAAAGCAGATATATATTAATAAACAGGAAAATAACAGTGTAAATGTTGTAAATTTAATCAATTATGAAACAAATTTCAGCTTTAAATCAGCTCTGCAGAAGATAACAGTGTAATTATTCTGCTCAATTTTCAGTGTTGTTTAAATTCGGTTCAATAACAGTGTCGATGTAGCTGTGACAGGAAGGGCATCCGACGTAAAACCTGTGCCAAATCATGTGTGTGTGAAGCGGACCCTGGACTCTGAGCGGGAATAACGCTAAGAAAGAGAGAACAGTGTCGATGTAGCAAAGTTAGTGTCATTATCCAGCTCAATTTTGTTCCCAAAGAGCAACATAGTGTCAACCCAAACCGGCCCACATCTGGGCCGTGTGGAATCCACCTGTACCAGATGTGAGCCGACACTATGTTGCTGTCTGGGTTCTCATCCATCCGATATAGTGTCAGAGCAGTTAAATCGATAATATTACTGAATATTAATTGTCATTTAAAAAAATGTCATAACTGGACCTTCCAGTGGAAATGACAGACATCTCTGTGATGATGTGAGCAAGACTTCTCCAATCATTTAGTCAGCTTAAACTCCACCAGTTCAAGCGCATGTTCATTTGCCTCCACTTCTGGGAGAAACGGTCACATCTCAAAATCCAATCAAAAATCTGTGCATAGAACCAAGTACTTGCCCTAAATTGTTTCTTTTTCCAGACTGATCTCATGAAATGGCGTATGTATGACACGCCAATTCGTATTTCATTTTTGGCGTGCTATCAACACGCATAATCGCTTTTCAGCGTGTTTATCAACGCCTTTGACTTAACGTTATATTACTGTATTATGTATATATAAATATATGACCTACCCCAACCCCGTCCCTAAACCTACCCGTCACTGGGGTTAATACCATTTATGAGTCTTCTCCTACCATCCTAGGAAAAGAAATATCGCTCCACAGATGTAGATATAGATTTTGCTTCGTTTCACTCGGACATTTAACGGCGTACACATACACGCGGAATCACTCGGACATTTAATGGCGTAGACATACACGCAAAAGATTTCGGCGTGGACATACACGCGGATAGCTCAAAATGCGTATAGATAACACGCCACTTGAATTGAAAGTGGCGTGTATGTTTACGCAAAGTCATGATGTCATGTTGCTTTTTCGATAATCTGTAGTCTATAACTTGGATGTATGTCACAATACAGAGGAAAAGATCTGGCACCACAATAAAATGCAGTGTCAACGTGTGTAAATGACTGAAGCATGGAATTCCATTGGCCACCTGGTAATAGTGATGCCAAAACACGGTATAGCCATAAAACTCAACAACAAAGAGAGTCATGTAACAGGTCATTGTTCACTCAGATTGTTCATTCACATCCTCGAACCTTCAAAGCATGATGTGGTTTGGCATGGACAGATTCAAAAGATCTGTTCAATTCTGCCTTTACATCAATTGAAAGAATCACATAAAAAGCACAAGCTCCTCTTTCACCTTCTAAACAAACAGTAGTGTTTCATTTCTCTCGTGCTGTTGTGTAATGTGTTCTCAAAAAGAGGTCTTCATACAACCTTTCACTTTTTGAGGAGCTCAAATGCCCCAGGGAGTCAGGCAGGAACCTTCAAATTATTGCTAACGTGTGGATGGAGCTCCCTCCACCCAATATCCAGTATCACATCCGCTAGGAGGCCTTTGTCATCCCAGAGGGCCCAAAAAGCCCCAGCTGGGTCCCTTCGGATTGGAGAGACCACTGACAGGGTATGTTTGTACTGCAGCTCTCTCTCTCGGACATGCATGGACTGCTAATGATGCGGAACTGTCACAGAGAGAAAAGGAGGGAAATGGAACACTGCCCATTTTTAAACCATCTAATTCTGGAAATGCAAAAGGAAGTCGGTGTTGACTGGCAGCTAGATGCAGATTAGGAGTTCCAGGATTGTGAGGCCCCTCAGTACTACACAAAGTGTGATTGTGGAATTTACATTGGAATTAGTCCATGAAAAAAATGTATCTCTAAATCAGATATGTGGTTGTACAATAATTCCTGCTTTGCGTTTACCACCTCAGAGTTGCATCTGTGTTAGAAGTTACTAACACTGGGTTAAGGGGATTGTTCACCCTAAAAAAATACTTTTTTTTCATTTATACGCACCCTTGTGCTGTTCCAAACCTGCAAGACTTTTATTGCTCTGTTAAACACAGAAAGAAAAAAACTATTTTTATAAATTGCCTCAGCACTCGACCCAACTGATATTTTTCAAAATATCATCTTTTGTGTTCCTCAAAAAGTCATACTGTTAAAAAATGATTTTTCAAAGTTGTGAACAAAACAAAGATTATTGGAGTATATTTTACAGGAAAATACTATTTCAGTTTTTCTACTTCAAAATGTCTTGTTTAATTCAATGTGAAAATAGTTTCTACACTATATTTTTTTCAGGGCAAGTTTTGGAACGGCATTAGGGCGAGTAAATGATGACAGAATTTGAATTTCATTTTTGGGTTAACTATTGCTTTAACTGTCTGTGAGAGGGTCTCTTTGGGTTGAGTGAGTTTTGTAAGACCCCTCTGTTCCCCAGTGAGCCACTGAAATAAGGAAGAGTGCACACCCTCCTCTTCTGTCTTCTCTTCTCCTACCCCCACTCTACAGAAAACACCCCTTTTCATGGTCCCCATGCCTTTGTTGCATGAAAGGGGAGCAAACTTAGAGTGTTAGTGTGTGAGAGAAAATGTTAGATTGATAGACCAATAAACAGAACAACTCACCTTTTTGTCCTCAGTAGTACTAACACAGGAAAGCTTCAGCACCTCCCAAGAGTGACTTTAATCCCAACAACCTCCCATGCACTTCCTGCTATGAAATCAGCTGTCTCCTTGAACACATCCTCATTCTCTGTTTATCCACTGCTGTCGGACTGAGGCCTCTGAGAGGGCGGCAAATACTGCTGTTTACTTTCCCACAGGCAGCAAGTTCCCGACTCTGCGCACTAACCGCTCCACTCCTCCTTGCTTTCGTAGCCCCCCTCTTCCCCCGGCCTCTGTCACTCCCGTCTTTTCTTTCGCTCCTTCCCTCCCCTGCTGTTGGGCAGTTAGGCTCTTCTGAACAAGCATAATAGCTGTTAAGCTCCACCAATGGCTGAGCTGCCGGCAGATTTGTCGTCCAATTAAAGTCAGGTTAGTTGGTCAAGGGGCAGAGTCTAGAAGGGGAAAAAAAGAGTAAGACAAGCCTGGAGAAGGAGGGAGGGAGAGAGAGAGAAAGACAGAAAGAGAGACAGGGATTACAGCATCTCCAAGCTGGGCAATTGTGGAGTCAATAGTATTAACCGAGTTAGTGATCATTCAGTATTGTGCAGTGATGGCATTAAAGCACATCTCTTTAAATGATTTTTGTCAGTTTTGAGGATACATTACATGCAGTGGAAAAAAAAATGTCTACCCTTATATAAATTTATATATAAAAATACACATTTTCAACACAGTCCCTACAAATGTTAGCCTGGATGCCAGCCCGAACCCCGCCCACAACATTTTTTGGTTGGGAAGTTCGGTCTGGACTCACTCCATTGAGGAGTAATTATGATCGGTTCAGAAATGGTCGGCCAATCAAATTGCCAGGGCGGGCTTTATACGATGATGGACAGATGATCTGCAGTTACGTAATCATCACGTTATCAAAGAGCGCTTGGGTTGAACTGGTTTCCCTCAAAGATGACTGCAGCTGGAGAATAGAGATGTATAGATTCCGCTATCGCGTCTGTTGTAAAAGAAATCGACAGCGCATTAATTTTAAAAGACGAACAGAGAACTGCAATCAAGGCATTTGTCGATCGGAAAGATGTGTTTGCCGTTCTTACTACGGGATTCGGCAAAAGTTTATTTTATCAGCTGGCTCCGATGGTCGCTAAGAAGATGGGACGCATTGAAAACCCTGTGGTCGTTGTGGTTTCTCCTTTGGTCGCACTCATAGAGGACCAAGTAAAAGAAGCAACACTCATTATTTTACTACTTCTTCCAGCGTGCGTGTAGTTGAGTTCTGTTGACAATTTGCGTAGCTCATAAAAAAACACTTACTGCGTTGCTCTGATTGGTTGTAGGTCTATCCAATTGAGTGCAGAGTTATTTTTTTTTCCTGGTTCGGTTAAGACACGCCTCATAATCAAAGCCCTATGGAGCAGTATCAGACTCACATTCTGACTAGAATATGAGTATGACAAAGTCAGGCTATACAAATGTATCAATGACCAAGAAATTAGCTCGTCTTGCAGTCAGCAAGACAATGGGAATCATCTCGCATACTTCAGACTTTAATGTGAGGGCATTTATAATGCAAAACCCCTCTAAAACACTTTATGTGGAAAAAAAATGTCAAAACATAAACTGATTAAAAAAACATTTTGAATAAATTTTGAAATATACATTTTGAAATATTTTAAATGCTTATATATCTATTTAAAAAATAACATTTAAAAATACATTTAAAAAAAACTTGCTATAAGTGTGGCTTCGGTGATTGACTAACTGGGATTATTGTTGATTCGATTGCTTCTATACACATCATTCACAGCAGCGCCATCTTTAAAGGGAATTAAAGTGAGGCTGTGAGGGATAGGCACATCTCTTCAGTGGGTTGTACTGTTATTTAATGTGATTTTGGAATGCTCTTCTGACGAAACACTGCAAAACTATCTTTCCAAGAAATTTCAGAAGACAAAACTCCAGACAACATGAGCCAACACAGTCTCATGAAAGTGCGTATCTATACCACGAATGTTATTTCTCGTGTCATTTATACGCCAAAACTGGTTTTTGCGTGCATATGCTACGCACTGAAAACCCTTGGGTAGGATTAGGGGGGTGGGGGATGCGTGCGTATTACACGCCATAAAGTGCGTATCATATGCACGCGAAAACTGCGTATGCACGCAAAAAACATTTTTGGCTTATAAATGGCACGAGAAATAACATTCGTGGTATAGATACGCACTTTCATGAGATCGGGCTGCATGAGCTGTGATCTATGAGGTTGCAGCTTTTTACAGAGGAGGCTATTAAAAACATTGTAAGTCTATCCCTCATGGCCTCGCTTTCATACCTGTTATGGCGTTGAATAAGCTTTTTTGTTCTCTCCATTTGTAAGTCGCTTTGGATAAAAGTGTCTGCTAAATGATCAAATGTAAATGTAAATATTAATATTCCTGATTGGTCACCTTTTTCAGGAATATAAATAAATTTCCTCCCACTACATCAGCGAAGGACCACCTTTCAGCTTCAGTGAGTACTGCTCAATCATCCACTAAGCTGAGCTGAAGAGAGTTTTTAAAGTTTACAAGGTTACATGCAGCTTTAAACAAAAATAACCGTCCAGTCCAAACATTTGGAAAAAGAAGACATCACGCTTGTGGTTCGATTAGAATTGAAGTATAAGAACAATGCACAATTCCTGCTTTATCAACTAACAGTAACACACTGATGTGCATGATATATGTGCTCGTAAAAATGATGAAATCAGAGATCGAAATCCGATCACAGACACGTTTTGGACACAGATCACCTAAAACAGCGGTCTGGACACCAGGTATAAACAAGGCCTATATAACGGTACCTCATAAGGCTATAGTCCTCAATGCATGTCTGATGTCAAAACAGGGGTGGGCACACCAGTCACCATGTTCATTATCCCAAAAATGGATTCAGTCATTTACACAGTATTTATTTATTATACTTTCATAAACGTGCCATATATTAAATGTGGCTACTATGACTCACTGGAGTCAGATTAATCACCCCTGAGTGATACCTCCAAGCACAGTGTTGACATCTCTGTAATAAAAATGTCCATTCAGCAGATGAGGGTCTCATCTGAAAACAGCTCTCACCACAGGAAAGCTCACAGGAATAGTCCTGCTAGATTTTTCTGTTGGCATGTATTTCCTCATAACAAATCTGGACTAGAATTGCCAGTGCACTTTGCTCTAGTTTTTACACAATTTCAATAAAGACGAAAAATATCTGTATTTGTGCATTTGAGAACTGCAGATAATAAATATACCTCCTAAAGTTACTCTAAACAGAACTGTACATTTATTAACACAACATAAAGCCATAAGTACAAATTTGTGAGAAAAAAACATTCATAACATCTGTTATCATTGAATGAATTAGATACACTCTTTAGATATACAAATATATATACGGCTGCTTGACCAAATCAATGCTATAAGACTTTTGAACAGGCAGCATATACTACTGCTCCCTTAAATGCTAAAATTTATTCTCAATACAAAAATAAAAAATAAAGTATTTTAATTCATCCCAAAAAGTATTTTGTGTGCTGTCTTTCTGTTCAGTCATCATAGCTAGTGACCAGTCTGTGGCCAACAACCAGGACAGCCCAGCTACCAGTCTCTGTCCCATTCCAGTGGCCACCAGTCAGTACAACTTTGCTACCAATCTGTGTCCCAGCAGCCTGGATTCCAGGTCTTATATGTCAGAGCAATCAAGTCATGGGTCTCGTTCCAGTCTTGAATCCCAACCTCTGGAGCAACCCAGTAATGTACCAGTTTCTACAAGCTATGAGTCTGTGGTGCAGTATGTCCAGCCTGGCTTTCAAGATCCTGCACCTCCATACTCTCAGACTACTCAAAACAATCGTCTATCTCCAGGAAAATTGAGGTTGTTGCATTAAGTGAAGTCATAGCTGCATACTTTGTTTTGTTTTCTTCATATCGTGTTTGCTTTTAAAAAAAAAGGTTTGTGATTTTGGTGTTTACTAGGTGTGTGTGTGTGTCACCTCAAGTGTCTACTGGGGAAGTCTTTGACCTGTAATAGTCTTTAGTATTCTTTGTGCTGCATTAGCATGACCTCATTTTTGTTTGACATAATCTGATTTGTTCTCTCTTTTGCCTGTTTACACCTGGTGATAAGATGAGTTTTGGTTGATCGGATCAAAATGATGCTAAATACAGGTTTAAATGGGGTCTAAAATGTTTTCAGCTTGTCCACTTTCAACAATTTCCAGAGGTAGCTGAATGTATTTAACTGGATTGCTTTCATAGTGTAAACGCTTGTGTGGTCAAATGCGTTCAAACGGCCACAAAAGACTGCCTACTGACCCAATGCATTAACATTATGGGAAGCATGCTAGCCAGATGGGATTCAAACTTTGTCGGCTGAAGACCCAAGTCAACAACACATGAAACAAAGCTTTATTCAAATTTATTGTTCAAACAAACTATCCCACATTTACAGGCAGTGAACCCCACATCCTGCTGCCATCTCAACACAGTTGTGCCAATTCTGCGGCTTTATTTTGATGAAGCAGCAGACCATCGTACCCACCTTCACCTGTCTTTGCCGTCCACCAAGGTGCTTGTCTTCCTCTACTGGCTGGCCCATGCAGCATCCTTCAGGGTGGTGTCACAAACCTTCGATATCCCCAAGACCTGGAGTGAGCAAGGAAATCATGGGAATTTTGAGGAGGGTGATTTGCTTTCCAACCAGAGATGACCTGGAGGAAGTGGGAGCAGGATTTGCACAGCTGGCTGGGTCACCAGCTTTCAGGAGAGCAGTTGGTGCAATAGACGGCTGTCATATACAAATTAAACCTCCAGCAAACAACTCCCAGTGTAACTACAACAGGAAGCCGTTTCATTCTATCTAACTCCAGGCCATAACTGATCACCAGGAGAAATTCCTTGATGTCTTTGTGGGATATCCTGGGTCTGTACATGATTCCAGGTTGCGGAGGAACAGCAAGCACTCCCTGAGGTTGTTGCGTGCTGCGCTGTGCTTCACAAACTCGCTCTTCTCAATGGGGACATCGTTGAGCAAGAGGATGAGGAAGACCATGATGATGGCCCTCCTGAACCCCACAACTTTGAAGCAAGAGTGGGAGAACATGTGCGGGACAATCTGGCTGCCACTGCGTCTGCTCCAAACATTTGTGTTCCTGGTATCCACGGGCACGATTACCTTTAAAACGTTTAAATAGATTAAAACGTTTTACAATTCATGTTGTCAGAACTCCATGGGATTTTGTTAATCCTTTTTACGAAAGTGTCTCTGGCACAAATGCTCAATAAAGCTGCTTAGTTCTTAAAGTTTATTTCTTCAAGGTACTACAATAATATAAATCCCAAACATGTAAATTCAGTCATTATTTACTTGCCTTCATGTTGTTTGATCCCTCTGTGGTTTTCTGGGGATTTTTTTTCTGAACACAAATGGTTATTTTGGTTACATTTGTCCTGCTGGTTTGAATACAATATCAGTCAAAGGGGCCCGACTTTCAGAAGCTTCATGACGTTATTTGATGATGCTTTTGAAGCTTCTGAATGTTGGGCTCCATTGCCTGATATTGTATGACCAGAAACCAGCAGGACAAATGTGACTAAAAACACCTTTTGCAAGTAAATAATGACTGAATTTATATGTTTGGGTGATATAACCCTTTAATCACTATGTTACTCTGTGTCATTATTGCAAAACTCAATGTTGTTTGTGTAAACTACTCTTTACACAAATCCAAATGAGTAAATGATCAGATTCAGAAGATGCTTTTATCTCATAATTTATTAAGATTTTTTTTTGCGATTACTTCAAGAAGACGAAGGAATCTTTCATCATTTCCTTTGTCTCCCTCTTTCTCCTTACTTCTCTCTCACTTGCTTCCTGGTGCAATCGGTCTTCTTTTGCTCTGGCTTTGCGTTCTCTCACACTCGCTTCCTGGTGCAATCTGTCTTCTCTTTCTCTGGCTTCACATTCTCGTTTCTCTTCGCTCTCTTGTCTCTCTCGTTCTCTTCGTTCCCCCTTCTCCTCTATTTCTCTCCATTGTTTCTCCTCCCTCTCAGTTGCTTCAAGCTCTCTCTCCGCTTCCCTCTCCTCTATCTCTGATCACATCCTCAATGTCTTTTGCTCTTTTTTTTGGTCTTGCGCTCACTGGCTCTTGGCTCACTGAGGATGAAGAGACCACAACATCTGGGCCAGGTGAGGCAATAAGGGCAGGTGGAGTGATGAAGGGTCTCATCCATGGCACTATTCCATTTCCAGGATGCTGCTGTGGCTCCCCATCCTCAGTGCTCAAGTCAGTCTGTGGACACTTCAGATCCTACAAAAATATACAAACATAATACAAAAGCAGTCATTTAAACAGCACATTGTCATTTGATTTCTGTATTAGAAGTAACAAAATGATCTTACTTTTTTGTTTCAGGTTTTTCCTTCTTCCTTTTTTTCTTCACAAATGCCGTCATCTTTCCTTGCAGGCCCTGCTCCTCCACAAAAGCTCGGTAGCAAATGCACAGAAATCAATAGTCAGAAAAGAGCTTTAAAAGAGTTTTAAATTACAATAATTAAAATAAACTACAACTTAAGATTTAAATATATTTTTATTCATTTTTGTAGTATACTCACTCAAAGCCTTTGATGGCAGCATTCCGCTTCATTTGCCACTCTCCACCGGATAAAAACACATGTGTGCTCAGTCATCGGATAAACACACACGTGTGCTCAGTCATCTGTCCATGTAACACTATTTGTGCTCAACACTATATTTAAATGTGTTAACTCGCTTTTTATCCAACACAAATGTTCCTCAATTTATCAACAGTACTAATGGACAAATGAAATGGATAACTTTTTAGTTATTTTATGTAAATTTGTTTATGCACATTTCTTACATTCATATAATGCAAGCAGTGTTGAAAACAGTGAATTCTACATAATAGCACACATATCACTCAGATATCTATTTCATGTGCTCATCTGCAATACTTATCGAAACTTTTCCTGTTATATGTTAAGTATTTTAGTAAGCGTCTTTAAAGGGGTCCTATAATGCCCTTTTCACAAGATGTAAAATAAGTTTCTGATGTTCCCAGAGTGTGTATGTGAAGTTTTACATGCTGTCTAATCAGCATCTTGATATGCCACACCTGTGAGGTGGATGGATTGTCTCTGCAAAGGAGAAGTGCTTACTAACACAGATTTAGACAGATTTGTGAACAATATTTGAGAGAAATAGGCCTTTTGTGTACATAGTAAAAGTCTTAGATCTTTGAGTTCAGCTCATGAAAAATGTGGGGCAAAAACAAAAGTGTTGCGTTTATAATTTTGTTCAGTGTATATATATATATATACGGATGCTTGACCAAATCAATGCTATATCAATGCTTTCCACTTTAAATAGAATAAAAATTGATGCTCATAAAATGTTTTAAATTGTGTGCTTTCTGTTAAGTAATCATAGTATATAAAAAGTAAATATTATGAATGAAATGCTAGTTGTCATGATCAGAGTTGTGACACCTGAACCTGCTAATTAAGGATTACATGTTCCCATGACAACTGATTGTCATGAAACAAATAGTAAATGGCAGTTGCTGGCACTATAAAAAGCCCAGTTCAGAAACACTAACATGTATTGGGGGGCAAGTATGTTTTTATGATTTTGTAGTGGTTTTGCTGAGCTGTGTTTTTGGTTGGCCATGGAGGGTACTACTATCCGACTCTTAAGGTATGATGATAAATTGTAGCATTTATTAACAACTGGCATTTTTCTAACAGTTTTTTCTTTTACAGTTTTTCTTTGGCACTTCTCAGTCTTTGTGTCTGTGGCCATATTGGAAGTGGTAAGGTTTATCCAGGCAAGTTCTTTAATTCCGGTTTGCTAACATGTCTGTTTGATTAATTTCCTTTGTTCTTGTTTCTAGTTGATGGTTTTGTTAGGAGTGTACGTTATCCTGTATACAATGAGGCTGGTTTCCCAGTGAAGGATGATGTGAAACCACGAAGTTCCTACAGCTGGGATGATGTATCATATCCCATCAGTCCTCAAAGATCTATGAATATCACTTATAGTGCTGCACAAGTTAAGGATGTTTATAGCAGTGTAAACCATAGTCCTCAAAATGGCTCTTCTGGCTTTGGACCAGTGACTAATGTAAATAAGCCTGGTACTGATGCTGGAAGTCAACTTCAAGGATATCTGCTCTCTTCAGCTGGCAGTGGCAGTCTTGTTTCTGGTTCTGTGAGGACTGCAATGGGTACAAGTATGAGCCTTGAGTCTCTACCCAAGCCAGCACAGCTCAACCATCAAACTGTAGTACAGTCTAGCAATGAGTCTGTGGCATCTAGTAGCCAGCAACTATTGCAGAGCAGCTCCCAGTCCAGTGGCCAATTACTGCAAGTCCGCTACCAGTCTGCAGTGCAGCCCAGTGCCCAGCCCATTGTCAAACCTCAGAGAAGTAGACTTCAAGTTTTGCTCAGTGGCCAGCAACTAGTGCAGTCACGCTATGGTTCCACGGTTCAGCCTAGTGGCGTAAAACTAGCACAGGCAAGATACCAACCTGTGGCCTGGCCCAGCCTCCAAATATCATCTCAGGCCAGCAGCCAGAACTCTGAACAAGCTGTCTTGCAATCTGTTGATCAGTCCAGTGGCCTTCCGTCAGCACAAGCCAGCTCACAGTCTGTGGACCAGTCCAGCATCCAACAATCGGGCCAAACCAGCCCACAATCTGTGGAACCGTCTAGTGGCCTGTCGTCATCACAAGCCAGCTCACAGTCTGTGGACCAGTCCAGCATCAACCAACCAGCCCAATCCAGCTCCCAGTCTGTGGATCTGTCCGGTGGCCTCCCATCACAAGCCAGCTCCCTGTCTGTGGACCAGTCCAGCATCCAACAACCAGCTGAATCTATCTCTCAGTCGGTGGACCAGTACAATGGTCTGTCAGCACAAGCCAGCTCACAGTCTGTGGACCAGTCCAGTGGCCTGCCATCAGCACAAGCCAGCTCACAGTCTGTGGACCAGTCCAGCAACAACCAACCAGCCCAATATATCTCCCAGTCAGTGGATCAGTTCAGTGGCCAGCAGTTAGCACAAGCTAGATACCAGTCTGTGGTTTGGCCTAATGGTCAACATCCAGGACAGGCCCACTACCAGTCTGTGTACCAGCCTAGTGGTCTGCCGTCAGCACAAGCCAGCTTACAGTCTGTGTACCAATCTAGCAGCCAACAGCCAGCCCAATCTAACTCCCAATCTGTGGTCAATCCTGGTGGTGTGCAATCAGCACAAGCTCACTACCAGTCTGTGTCCCAGCCCAGTGGCCTGCAGTCAACACTAGCCCGCTATCAGTCTGTGCCCCGGCTAAGTGGCCTGCAGTTAGCACAAGCTAGATACCAATCTGTGCTCTGGCCTAGTGGTCAACCAGGACAGGCCCGCTACCAGTCTGTGGTCCATCCGGGTAGCCTGCAGTCAGCACAAGCCCGTTACCAGTCTGTGTACCAGCCCAGTGGCCTGAAGTCAGCACTAGCCCGCTATCAGTCTGTGGAACAGTCTAGTAGCCAACAGCCAGCCCAATCTATCTCACAGTCTGTGGTCCATCCTGGTGGTGTGCAGTCAGCACAAGCACACTACCAGTCTGTGTACCAGCCTGGTTGCCTGCCGTCAGCACAAGCTAGCTCACAGTCTGTGGAACAGTCCAGTGGCCTGCAGTTAGCACATGCTAGATACCAATCTGCGGTCTGGCCTAGTGCCCAACAACCAGGACAGGCCCATTACCAGTCTTTGGTAGTTCCCGGTAGCCTTCAGTCAACAGAAGCCCGTTACCAGCCTGTGTTCCATCCCGGTAGCTTGCAGTCAGCACAAGTCAGTTCGCAGTCTGTGGATCAGTCCAGCATCCAACAACCAGCCCAATCCACCTCACAGTCTGTGGACCAGTCCAGTGGCCTGCCGGCAGCACAAGCCAGCTCACAGTCTGTGGACCAGTCCAGCATCCAACAGCCAGATGAATCTAGCTCACAGTCTGTGGACCAGTCCAGTGGTCTGTCAGCACAAGCCAGCTCACAGTCTGTGGACCAGTCCAGTGGTCTGTCAGCACAAGCCAGCTCACAGTCTGTGGACCAGTCCAGTGATCTGTCAGCACAAGCTAGCTCACAGTCTGTGGACCAGTCCAGCAACAACCAACCAGCCCAATATATCTCCCAGTCGGTGGATCAGTCAAGTGGCCTGCAATTAGCACAAGATAGATACCAGTCTGTGGTTTGGCCTAATGTTCAACATCCAGGACAGGCCCGCTACCAGTCTGTGTACCAGCCTAGTGGTCTGCCATCAGCGCAAGCCAGTTCACAGTCTGTGTACCAATCCAGCAGTCAACAGCAAGCCCAATCTAACTCCCAGTCTGTGGTTCATCCTGGTGGTGTGCAGTCAGCAAAAGCTCGCTACCAGTCTGTGTACAGGCCCAGTGGCCTGCATTCAGCACAAGCCTCTTATCAGTCTGTGTCACGGCCCATTGGTCTGCCGTCAGCACAAGCCAGCTCACAGTCTGGGGAAAAGTCCAGTGGCCTGCCATCAGCACAAGCTAGATACCAATCTGTGGTCTGGCCTAGTGGCCATCAACCAGGACAGGTCCACTACCAGTCTTTGGTAGATCCAGGTCGCCTGCAGTCACCACAAGCCCGTTACCAGTCTGTGTCCCTGCCCAGTGTCCTGCAGTCAGCACCAACCCGCTACCAGTCTGTGTTCCATCCTGGTAGCCTGCAGTCAGCACAAGCAAGTTCGCAGTCAGTGGACCAGTCCAGCATCCAACAGCCAGCTGAATCTAGCTCACAGTCTGTGGACCAGTCCAGTGGCCTGCCATCAGCACAAGCCAGCTCACAGTCTGTGGACCAGTCCAACATCCAACAACAAACCCAATCTAGTTTACAGTCTGTAGATCAGTCCAGTGGTCTGAAGTTAGCACAGGCTAGATACCAGTCTGTGGTCTGGCCTAGTGGTCAACATCCAGGACAGGCCCGCTACCAGTCTGTGTACCAGCCTAGTGGTCTGCAGTCAGCACAAGCCCGCTACCAGACTGTGTCCCGCCCCAGTAGCCTGCATTCAGCACTAGCCCGCTATCAGTCTGTGTCCAAGCCCAGTGGCCTGCAGTCAGCACAAACCAGCTCACAGACTGTAGAACAGTTCAGTGGCTTGCAGTTAGCACCAGCTAGATACCAGTCTGTGGTCTGGCCTAGTGGCCAACAACCAGGACAGGCCCGCTACCCTTCTGTGTCCTGGCCCGTTAGCCTGCAGTCAGCACAAGTCAGTTCGCAGTCCGTGGACCAGTCCAGCATCCAACAGCCAGCTGAATCTAGCTCACAGTCTGTGGACCAGTCCAGTGGTCTGTCAGGACAAGCCAGTTCACAGTCTGTGGACCAGTCCAGCATCCAACAACCAGCCCAATCCAGCTCACAGTCTGTGGACCAGTCCAGTGGCTTGTCGTCAGCACAATCCAGCTCACAGTCTGTGGACCAGTCCAGCATCCTACAGCCAGCTGAATCGACCACACAGTCTGTGGACCAGTCCAGCATCCAACAACCAGCCCAATCCAGCTCACAGTCTGTGGACCAGTCCAGTGGCTTGTCGTCAGCACAAGCCAGCTCACAGTCTGTGGACCAGTCCAGCATCCTACAGCCAGCTGAATCGACCACACAGTCTGTGGACCAGTCCAGCATCCAACCGCCAGCTGAATCTAGCTCACAGTCTGTGGACCAGTCCAGTGGTCTGTCAGCACAAGCCAGTTCACAGTCTGTGGACCAGTCCAGCATCCAACAGCCAGCTGAATCTAGCTCACAGTCTGTGGACCAGTCCAGTGGTCTGTCAGCACAAGCCAGTTCACAGTCTGTGGACCAGTCCAGCATCCGACAACCAGCTGAATCTAGCTCACAGTCTGTGGACCAGTCCAGTGGTCTGCCATCAGCGCAAGCCAGTTCACAGTCTGTGGACCAGTCCAGTGGTCTGGTAGCAGCACAAGCCAGCTCACAGTCTGTGTACCAATCCAGCAGTCAACAGCCAGCCCATTCTAACTCCCAGTCTGTGGTTCATCCTGGTGGTGTGCAGTCAGCAAAAGCTCGCTACCAGTCTGTGTACAGGCCCAGTGGCCTGCATTCAGCACAAGCCTCTTACCAGTCGGTGTCACGGCCCATTGGTCTGCCATCAGGACAAGCCAGCTCACAGTCTGGGGAACAGTCCAGTCGCCTGCAGTTAGCACAAGCTAGATACCAATCTGTTGTCTGGCCTAGTGGCCAACAACCAGGACAGGTCCACTACCAGTCTTTGGTAGATCCAGGTAGCCTACAGTCAGCACAAGCCCGTTACCAGTCTGTGTCCCTGCCCAGTGTCCTGCAGTCAGCACCAACCCGCTACCAGTCTGTGTTCCATCCCGGTAGCCTGCAGTCAGCACAAGCTAGATACCAGTCTGTGGTCTGGCCTAGTGGTCAACATCTAGAACAGGCCCGCTACCAGTCTGTGTACCATCCTAGTGGCCTGCAGTCAGCACAAGCCCGCTACCAGACTGTGTCCCGCCCCAGTAGCCTGCATTCAGCACTAGCCCGCTATCAGTCTGTGTCCAAGCCCAGTGGCCTGCAGTCAGCACAAACCAGCTCACAGACTGTAGAACAGTCCAGTGGCTTGCAGTTAGCACCAGCTAGATACCAGTCTGTGGTCTGGCCTAGTGGCCAACAACCAGGACAGGCCCGCTACGCTTCTGTGTCCTGGCCCGTTAGCCTGCAGTCAGCACAAGTCAGTTCGCAGTCCGTGGACCAGTCCAGCATCCAACACCCAGCTGAAGCTAGCTCACAGTCTGTGGACCAGTCCAGTGGTCTGTCAGGACAAGCCAGTTCACAGTCTGTGGACCAGTCCAGCATCCAACAACCAGCCCAATCCAGCTCACAGTCTGTGGACCAGTCCAGTGGCTTTTCGTCAGCACAAGCCAGCTCGCAGTCTGTGGACCAGTCCAGCATCCAACAGCCAGCTGAATCTACCTCACA